AGGCTGCGGGAAGCAGAGCCGGGAGTCGGCCGCGAGGTTCTGGGCTCTGCTGCTTCTCTTAAAGTCGTATTTGGTTCCAAGTTGTCGTTAGAGTAACATCCTTCTGCCTGTAGAGTTAAGGGTTCTTGAAAACATGTTTTCTTTTGATGACTTTAAGGTAAATGCTTATTTTGCAGTCGGGAAGATGCAGGAAAATTCTGTTTAATTCACTAAGGTGAACTTAGGGACATCAAAGCAGGAATATGCAGTGAGAGCACGCAGTGTGCTTCGCTGTTTTAGAAAAACAGCTCTTAACAGTGAATTTACCGGGTCAAAAGTATCACTGTTTCCTCTTTTGGAGTTCTGGTATTTCCTCCTCCCCTAGTTCATGCAGTGTTCAGAAAAGCATCAGCTAAGTCAGGTTACTCCCTGGCGGTTCTTGCAGAGCCTGCTCGGCCTCAGGGACACTGCCTGGAGAGTTGTGCCCTGCTCTCCATGTCCTGACAGTTTGCTTCTTACCCTTACGTGGGATAATCATACAGATCTTGGAGGTGGCAGTGTCTTGTGAAGGGTTCTTTGTAGTGAATATTGCTTGTTACTAACTGAAATATTTTTGAGTCTTGATCCTGAAAAAAATTAGTAAGGTTTACTTTGTCAGAATTTTTAATATCAGTTCAGTTAAAGTCCTGCAAATAGCTTTTCTATCCTGAGTTACTTGTAAATAGATGTAAATATTTTCCCCATTACATTGCATAGGAACCCCTGAGAGTTAACGTGTTAAGTACTTTGAGGTAATGGGTTTTATTAATCTCTGTTAACTTTGTGCCAATTGCTAAAATAAAAGAGACTAAGTAGGTCTTTTCAGACAACAGAGATTGCACTTTGGCAAGTAGTATGTTCTGTCTCTGGTATGTTCTTTTCTTTGGCTTAGAGATTTTCATTGAGTGAAGCAGCTTTCTTTTGCTGGAGATAACCAGTGGAAGGCCTCTTAGTTAGCTGTCACGTCTTGTTAGTTTAGCACACAGGTTTGATATGGGAATCCCTCTTGAAAAGTTTGGGAATTTAATAGTTACTAGCTTTATCCCTAAATCCTTCTATAAAGTGAGTCTGCCAAATAGGAGACTCTAAGTTTAAAAAAAAAATTGGTCTGGGACATTTGGTTTGAAAACAGTTCAGTATAAAGGGACATGCCTGATAGTGCATTTTTAATCTTAGAAATGCTTAACCACACACTTAAGATTCTTAAAAGCCTAGAAGTTACTTGAGTCAGAGGAAAGCACAAAAGCATTAAGCTGGAGTTTTGCAAACTACTGAATCCAATGTCTTCATAGCATTTTTTCTGAGGGAAACATTTGAATGGAAAACAGGTCTGTCATTTCTTAGCTAGTCATGGGATCCTACAAGAGTTTTCCTTGAAATCTGGGTTTAAAATGAACAGAGTTTTTTCAGAACTTCTCACAGATTTTTCTGCACCCTTATCAGTCTTTGTATAATTTTCAAAGAATAAGTAAACAGTTTCACAAATTACCCGTTCATCTACCAAAAATCTCTTCTAGAAACCATTACTCTACAACTTAAAATTGAAATGTATAATTAGTGGAATCCTACCCAGGCTTTGAAATAACATTTACCTGTTCCAAAAATGCAATTTAAAAAGTATAACTTAAAATACATCCTAATGTTCTCTACCTGAAAGTGTTGTAATGTCCTACTTGTGTTCTTGCAGCACCTGCCAGTGTTCGTTTCGTCCACAACGATGTCGTGGTGCCTGACTTCTCTGCCTACCGTCGGCAGGATGTGCTGGATGCCACCGCATCGTCCCAGAGCAGCAGTGAAGACAGGAAAGGGTTCTCCTACCTGCTGACTGCAACGGCCTGTGTGGCAACTGCATACACTGCTAAGAATGTTGTCACGCAGTTTATCTCCAGCCTGAGTGCCTCTGCTGATGTGCTAGCCTTGTCAAAGATTGAGATCAAGTTATCTGACATTCCAGAAGGCAAGAACATGGCTTTCAAGTGGAGAGGGAAGCCCCTTTTTGTGCGCCACAGAACCCAGGCCGAGATTAATCAGGAAGCTGAAGTGGATGTGTCTAAACTGAGGGATCCACAGCATGACTTAGACAGAGTAAAGAAACCAGAATGGGTCATATTAATAGGTGTCTGCACTCATCTGGGCTGCGTACCCATTGCTAACTCTGGAGATTTTGGCGGGTATTACTGCCCTTGCCATGGGTCCCATTACGATGCCTCTGGCAGAATCAGGAAGGGTCCTGCTCCCTATAACCTTGAGGTTCCATTTTACCAGTTTGTTGGTGAGGATTTAGTGATTGTTGGCTGAATAACAAGATGCTTGCTCACTCTCATGTTCCTGTGAATGTACACCCAAAAAATGAGTAACTGAGATTCTGGAATGTAATCCTAAAAATATATTAGCTGTCTATATTGTCAACCAGAAGTATGTTTGAATGCTTCTCTGTGTTGGATTTTAATAAAAACTTGGAGTGAGCACTTGTTCCTGACTTAGGATAATGTGCATTTATTTGAGTACAGACTTCTAATGTGTCTAGTCAAAGAGATGCTGCAGCAGACCCAGAATATGTTTATGGAGCTCTCTGAAAGGCTGCTGGTTCAGGGGAGACACTGGACTACAAAGCCATCGTTTCCTTCAGACCTCTTTTTATTTTGTTTTTACTTCATTATGGGAAGGAACATCTCAAAAAGATATTGCTACAAACTTCTGTTCGGAGTCAGTTTCAATATAGACTCCTGTGAGATGTAATCCTTTTCCTTTCCAGTGTATTTTGTTTGTTTGTTTTGAAAGGAAGTGAAGGAAAAAGTAAATAAGTAGAGGGAAAATTCTTTTACACTGTTCAGCTAGAATGACAATGTGATTTTATGATGATGTGGACAAAAATAAGCATATCATGTTCAAATTTTTTTTGCTTGCAGATAAGGCTTGATCATATACATATCTAAGTGTCAGATCAGGTGCTTAGGACACTGGAAGATCTGTTACACTTTTCCAAAGCAAGTAAGTTGAAAAGGAAGTAAAAAGGGAAATTCAAGTTTTACAGAGGGTGAAAAATAAATCCTAAGAACCACTCAATCTGGTCTAATCTCTAATGTTAAACATAGCAAAAGGTTGAGATGCCATCAGAGTTATTTTAAGGCTCAATGATTTTTGTGAAAATCATCATTTCATGCTGTCTACCGGCTAAGCCAAATAAAGACCAAAACTTTGAAACTTCTCTTACCTTTACAGTGACTCTGAAGGCACGGATAACCAATTGCTGTCTGAAATAGATCTTGTAACCAGTGTTGGTCCCACCAGTACAAAGAACAACTAATTGCCTGCAGTACAAGATGAGAAACAAGGTTAGGTGTTTCCGGAACCCAAAGCAAAAGCAACAAACAAAAGCCTTTCTTGTACTTCCTGTTTGCTTCTCACTCTTTACTGCTGTTGTGGGAATGCTTCTGTCTGGCAGTGCGTTAAAATGCTCCCTGTTTCTTCGCCCACAGGTAGATGGTGTAGGCCTGGTCTGTCTGGGTTCAGATAACTGCTAAGGAACTGCAGTACCAGCAAAGCTGCCCCCGTAAAGCAAGGGGTGCCCGGGGCCGTTTCGGAGTTGTCAGGTGGACGTGGTGAAAGCTGGAGTGGCTGTGTCACAGCCGGGCTGAAAGGGTCCTGCACAACATTACTGGCACAGAATCACTTAAATTGTATCAAACTGACTGGACCAAATCTTAACAATTATAGCTAATGCAGCACCAGGAAATTGAACAAGTTTGAGAGCAAACTAACAGCTTTTACTGCAAACGTGCAGCACCAGCAATATTTTTTTTTTTTCACCAGCATAATGATGCAATGGGTGAAGGAGCTGAAGTATCTTATTAGGTAGTGCAGATCTGATAGTTTCCATCATCTCTTCAGTTCAAGACTTTGCTCTCTTTATAGTGTCCAAAATATCATTCCTAATGGGCCATATGTGCCTTAGAAAAAAAGCCAGGATTTACTAGTATTTGAAAAGGTAGAGAGTTAACAGCCTCAGATCTCCAAAACCTCTTCACAGTTCGGTATTACAAGTACAGGTGTAAATTAAAAACAATGAAATTTCATCTGAACACATTAAAATACCTTTTTCACTCTAAAGGCTGTGAAACACTGGAACAAGTTGCCTGGAGAGACTGTGGAGGATCCACAGAGATTGTCAAATCCAACTGGACAGGGTCGTGAACTTGTGCAACGGAGTTGAGCTAGATCATCTCAAGATGTCCTTTCCAAACAGTGACACAGGGGTTTGCAGGGAACTATGTGCAATTATTGTATTGTCTTCTCTGAGAACAGGAACTCCAGAAGGTCCAAACTCCCTAAGGCAGAAGTATGACTCCAGCAAGGATAAACCTCCATGCAGTGGTGCACTGATTGCCAGTAATGAGCTCATAATTACCTTCTGGGCTAAGTTGTCCTTGGAAGGAGCTCTCCCTGCTGCCACTAATTACAGATAATACCACCATGGAAATGTGTAATGTTACTGTTTTCATGGCTAGGGCCCATGGGGCTGGAAGTACAAGTGTTCAAGTACACAGAAAAGTACTGCTGCATTTTATTAAATTCTGAAGATTCATTGTATTCATAAGAAGCAATGGCTTGATGGGCTTTTGCTACATCTCTGTATTTCCACTTTGACACCCTCCACCTCACTAATGTCCTTACCAGGGCTCTATGCCTAAGGTCAGATCCTTTTCACTTAATGTGTTTGCTAGTGAAAGTGAAAATAAAGCTCAGAGTTACCGCCTTTACCCTTCAAAAAAGTATGAAGCCTCACTTCTCTCTTCACAACTGGGGTTTCCTCAGAGTTGTGTAAGAAAACTCTGCCTTACACTGTCAGCCACATATCAGTCTGCTTTAGCCAGGCAGGCCAGCATCATTTGCTGCTGTTGACAGGGTGGCAGGAGCTAAAAGCAAGGACAGTTTGGTGCTGGGGCAGGTCAGCCAGGTTGAGCAGTGGTGGGGCCTGATGGTTTTTGGCAGTGGCGCTGTGGAGCACAAGCCTGTGGCAGAGAGAGGGGCTGCACGGCCTGCCTGGCTTCTGCATGCCTCTTCTGTATGAAGCTGCAGCCACATCTCTCTTCTCAGCTAGCTACTTTTCTCCTTTAGAACAAAACAGTCTTATGAAGTTGCTGAAGAGTTCATGTTTATTTAATAAAAGCTCTTCAGATAAGGGAATAAAGATACTAAAAGCAAAACCTAAGTTTTAATATTTGACATATCAAAATCTTTGTCTTTCATTTTATGTGTCTTTAGAAAAGGGACAGTACTTTTAATGGTTACTTCTGCCAAAGGAATAATTAATGCAGAGATTTTAAATGAAAATTCAGAATATTAAGTCATTTTTATGGCTAATGACGTACAATTTTTTAACCCTTCTCATTTGTGAGGTCCACTTGTCCGAGTTGAAGACAATTTCCCACACATCCTCTGTGCAGTCATTAACTTATGTTCCTGCAAACCAAATGAGCGAGCGTTCTCCAAAGGCCACATTGCACAGCAACACAGTTAGCAAGGACACTCTTGTCACTGGTCACCAAAAATATACACATGAAGAAACTCTGTGAAGATGGTTCCTAAGCAGTTCAGGTATAGCTGAGGAACACAGTAGTCAGCTCCCCAGTTAAGGGAGCACTGAGTATACAAGCAATATATTTCTCATCAGTAGAAGTGACAAGTGGCAGAACAATAATGACCCTTCTCCAACTCAAAAAAAGGAAATTATTTATGGATGGAAGGAGAGAGTTTAAAGCTACTGAAGGTTGGGTGTCCTCCATCGTTAAGATTTTCTCAGCTACATTCAGATGTTTATTTTATACGTTAATCACTTTTATGCTCCACGGAGCTGGTAGCATTGTTCATTATTCAAATTATCCACGTTCTAAAAGAAATTTTGGTTATTTATAGTATTGGGAAGTACTGACTGTGATCTGTAGTAAGTATGCCAGATTTCCTGCTTTCAATTAATTTATTTTCCATATGTTTCAGTAATAGTTTTGAAGAGATGACTAAACAAAAAACACCTTTCATCTTACTAATGCAGGTGATCCCTGTCTCTGAAGGACTTTAGCAGTTGATGGCCATTAACATCTTGCAGTTTTCCTAACCAGTGTAAGTTTTGCAACACCATGAAAATCCAATTTTCTCTTGTCACAGCCTTTTGAAAATATGTTGTTTATATAGGCTCATATCAAAAGTATCCATTAATCTGGGGGCCTAGTTTGATACACCTAGAATCTAGTGGTGTTTGGGGTACCACCTCATATATTCAGAAGAGAGTACTCATTCAGCTACCATTAAAAGTACTTGACAGTCCTGCAAATCATGATCTTAAGTTAAAATTCTAGGAGAGAGAAAACAGGTAGAGGAACTGCAACATCACACAGGAAACACAGTGCAACCAGGGGTACACCTCGTGTCTCTGGAGTGTCATTCCAGAGCATCTTCCCTTTCTTTTCCTGCAAGCTGGAAATTCACCCTTACTACAACTGCAAATGAAGAGGAAAGAGCTTCCAAGAATTATGTTTGGCCAAAACCCCAATCAGTTAATTGCAATTATGCCATGCTTGACAGATTCTTTAGCACAATTATGACATGTTAAAAAGTACTGTAACAGTATCAGTTACAACAGCCTTTATTCTTGCAGAAAATATTTAAGTATTTATGGGTTTGTTTGTTTGTTTGCTTTTTAAGGGAAAATACAAGAGCTTGTGTGCACTAAAAGCGGGGGAAGAACATACTTGTGTAATTAGAAGACTTTGTCATACCACAGACATAAAATGATGTCGTATGGAGCCTGTGAGGAAATACGGACATCAACATTTCAAAGCTTTTACATCTCAGCTGTGTTTTCAACTTTTCAAGTGATACCATTGCATTGTACTTCTGGAGAAAAGCAAACAGAACACATATATTATGCTTGCAGTGTTGTTATCTGCTCCCAAGATAAAATGACAATCTTTCTGCATTCCCATCCTCCTCCTGAGTATCAGAGGCAAAACACAACACCACAGAGTGCTCCAGTGGACAATGCTTTATGTGCTCCCTGAACAGGTACAACTGGAGCCAGGCAGGCTCACCTTTACAGCCCATGGGATTTGTTTCACACTCCTGCCTGCAAGATGAGTCTGCCAGAATGCAGACAAGCTGAGCCAGAGCCACCGGGGCTTTGGACACATCCTGAATCTGTTATTTCTGAAGCTACCTTGCCATTCAGTTATCCTAGTCCAAGCTGCCATCAAACCCCAAGATCTTCAGTGTTAAAACTACAGCTTACAAATTTGCCTACCTTTGGTTCCTTTAACTACAGGAAAGTCCAACAGAAAATTTTCAAGATGCAAGTAGTACAAGCTTATTCACTAACAAAATAGTGAAATAAAGAACTCAGATTCCTAGAATTAAGCAGTATTAACCAGAGACTACAATGTGGTCTGACATAGTGCTGATATCTATATAAAGTCTTTC